GGGTACCACACCCATCTCTGGTAGGTGACATTCATATAGTTCATATCGCATTCCGGTGGGCGGCGTCAAGATGCATTTTCTACCAATAGTGTCCGGCTCAGGTAGAGAGCAAGCCATGGTAGGAAACGCCTTGGTGGACTTTGACACCGCCTACCAGATTCCGACATTACCAATTGTATCTGAATAGGCAGTCGTAGACTGCAGAAGCCTGACTATGGCAGAACTTTTATAGGTCCTGACGTTTTTCCTGATGCACCTACAACTATTTGGCAGGCCCTGTTCTGTGATGACAAGCAATTGCAGATGCAAAAGGTTAGCATTCCAAAATGCCGCTAAATCTCATCACTAACTCTGAAATCACTCGCTTGAAGAGAAACCCTACAATCGTATATTGTGGATAGTAGTGCTCAATTATTAGGTTGATCAAAAAGTTTTGATAGGGTTTTTTGAAAGTTCCAGAACTTTCGATTCTTGATCGATACCAATGATCTACCATGTGGTAGTGGTAGAACATTCTAGAACCTTCTCCGTAATGGGTATATATAGGCGCGCTTCCTCCTTTAGCTTAAATCACGATGTCAATTCCACGAGACCATGTTCGATACATCATCTTCTACGAGTGGCGCCGCGGCACCGGAGCGACGGCAACCGTTCGCAACATCAACAGCGTATGGGGGAGGACACCACTTCCATCGCTACGGTCCATCGCTGGTTCGCTCGCTTCAAGGAAGGAGACACGGACTTCGAAGACAAGCCTCGGTCGGGACGCCCCTCGCCGTCGACGACTCCGTCATTCTCGACGCCGTCAAAGAGGATCCGGAAGTTAACACCCGCAGTCTTGCGACGAGACTTGGGTGTGCCCAATCAACAGTCGTCGGGTCGCCTTTTCATGCGCCCTCGGTTGCAGAAAAGTGCGGAAATCGTGAACTTCGATGGATACCTCATGTCTTGACCGATAGCATGCGGTACACCCGGGTATCCATTTGTCAGTCTCTCCTTCTCCGCCCACATCGCAAGGAGTTTCTGGAGGACCTAGTTACTGGAGATGAAAGCTGGATCCTCTACGACGCTAACAAGCACCGCGCCGTCTGGCTCCCGCGAGGAGAACAGCCGCCGACGCAAGCCAAATCCGACCTCCACCCCAAGAAGTTTCTCCTTTGCTGCTTCTGGGATTCAAAAGGAATGCTGTACTACGAACTGCTCAAGCAAGGCCACACCGTCACCGCTCCCTATTCAGCTGCAGAAACTTGCGGAAGCCGTTCGAGAAAAACGGCCTAGACGAACTTTTGTGCACCTCCTCCATGACAACGCTAGGCCTCACATAGGTAAAGAGACCCGTGCAAAATTGGAGGAGCTAGGCTGGGACACGGTTCCACATCCACCCTATTCACCTGATATTGCCCCTCAGATTACCACTTGTTCCGGCCCCTCAAGGCTTTCCTAGCAAAAAACGATTCGTCAACTATGACCACCTTGAACAAGTGGTCGGTGACTTCTTTGACTCCCAATCTCCCCAGTTCTGGGAGAAGGGAAGACCTGCCCGTTAGGTGGGACAATGTTATGACTAACGATGGTTATTATATTGTTGATTAGCTTGCATTGTTTGCTGAGTTGTAAAATAAAACAGAAAAAATCTCAACCCTATCAAAACTTTTTGATCAACCTAATACAAACTTGAAGTGGAATAATGACTCCAGAGAGGAAAAAAGCAAAAAAAAACGTGGATTGAGGAACTGGGAGCCTCTCTGGTCGTTTTTCGGACCTGCTATTTTATTCCAACAAAGCGATATTCTGCCACATCTAGCTCACTGATTTCTTCGTGTCATCTCTGTTAATGCCATTAAATTGTGAGAAAAATAATGAACAAACCGGTGTAAGGAATGTACTCGTGAAAGTAAGCAGTCTCTGAGATTCGGGCTGGTTCATCGTTCCCTTGTATTGCGAGTTTACTATGTTTACTCCTTAGATGGCACAGAAAAGTACAACCAATAACAAATATGGAGTAGAAGTGTGCGGACAAATGTCCCTGTGATCGCACCCGCGGCCGATGAGGTCAATTTCAAAACTGGTCCGAATCCGGGTCCCAAGTGGCGCTTAGTTGGTTTTACAAGCCCATCCAGGAGGGAACACACCATATTGTTCATTCGGTACCGCAGTTATATAGACCAAATCCTAATTAGGAACCCTGTCGAAATCAATACAAAACAAGATCTTTTATGATAGTTTGTGGAAAAAAGATCGGTGAAAATAATAACGTTTTGCTTCAGTTCTACAAAGAACATTATGGCCCTGTATGGGAAACTGCAAGAAGGAGAGAACAAGAATGGAAAGCAATACATTCAGCGGTTAGCAGCTTCACTTTTATTCACAACATCGGTCACCCACAAGCAGCGCGTTCACCAAGCACGTGAGCGTGGTCTCTGACCCCACAGTGGGCTCCTCATTGGTATTTCGCTATCTAAAAGCAACCCTCCCCCAAGCTCAGCATGCGCGCTGCTTTCAAAACTCAGGCATCATTCTCTATTCATCATGATGCATTTCCTCGTGATTCAGATGCTTTCTTTCAGAGAACAGCGAACGGTAATGCGAACAATAATCATAAATAACAATAACTCTAAGCAATACGTTTTTACCATTTGAATGTGGATCATTAACGTCACTCCACGCTCACATAATTTATTGAATTTCTGAGATATACTCGTCACTTGATAAATATCTTGATCTTGATCATTTTTGAACAAACTGTTGTGCGTTGTGAAGAATACTACATTTCGGTTCATAGAGCATGGTCCAAATCCCTGAGACAGGGTAGCTGCCCTTTTTCAACCAAGCGTGGCTGCGTTCTTCAACCAAGCGTGGCGGTGGTTGCGCTTCTGGAGAGATGTTTCCATTTTGACACAATCGTGGTCATGTCTCCATCGAATGCAGAACAAGATGACAGTTGTCTTTCAAATTCGAATATCCCACGAGTAACCCATTCTGTATCATGTTCAAATGCCACGCCTACTCCGTCTCAGGGATAAGGAGTATATGTAGGGGGTGCACCTCCAACCATTCTTGCTTTACTTTGGCGTGTTTGTTGTTTGCTGCTGTCTCTAAGAATGGTGGTTATTCAATGAGAGTTGCTTGGAAACCAATCAAAAGATTGGTACATTGGTTGATATTTAAAGATAAGAAAATAAGACTAACAAGGCAGCGTTCAGAGGCGATAACTCGCGTCGATGTGCTACAATTGCAGCAGCGCTTCCTTCCCTATAAACACGAGCACAGCCGCAGACAGGAATTGATCGGTACCTTTTGCGTAGCAAGAGAGGATGGGAGAGCTGGATGATACGCTCTCCAAGACATGCAGTCTGTTATCGCTACGACTGGCCAGGACAGCGCCGATCAGTTTCCATCTGCGGCTGCGTTGCGTCTATGGGAACGAAGCGCTGCTGCAACTGTAGCGCGGTGCAGCGCGTCGTTGCGCGTCATCGCGAGGTCTGAGCGCTGCTTAGAGCAGCTGGTTTGTTCAAAGGTATTGAGCGCGCACTGTCGTGTGCAACTCCGCTTGAATACAAATAACGCCTTACACCCCAGGAAATAGGGTATGCGTGAGCTTTTCAAGGCACACTCTACGACTGAGAAAATCTTTCCACGATCAACGGCGCCTGACCGGAAAGCGTACTTATTTTTTCGTTGTTGAATAAATTGCAATTCGACACTAGGCAGGAGATTTTGCGTGTCGCATAAATCGACGTCGTAAATGTCGACGGCAGCTTGGAACATGAGCTCCCTCGCCTTTCTGAAGTCTACGAGTTACGACAATGGCGGCATTTTCAATAGCTTGCCATTCCCAGACAATGGCGGGAATAGTCCCTATGCTACTGGAAATGGCTCACCGTTTCGCACAGATTGGCCTATCGTGGTCCACCTCGTTAGACGATGAAGAAGTAGACTGACGGCCAGTACAGGCACCCCAAAACGCTCAACGATTCGACGGTGACGAGATCGGACGGGGTTGGTTGTTTTCGCCCTCACTCTAAACGGAGTGAGGTTCAGTTTACGAAGTTTGCGAAGAAGAAGTATGTTACGACAATAAAGAAGCTATGCTACCCGTTGTGGGATACAAGCTTCACAATATGGTAGGTGGAACTTTATTGAAGCGGGTCTATAGTTTTTCGACTGAATTCGTCGTCACGCGGAGGCTTTAGAAGCTAGGTGCGAAGTCCAGATTTATGCTCTACACCACCATGCGCTTCACCTTCTCTAGCGCTAACGACGTTCCGATGGGAACCTCGAAGAGAACCCGAAGCAATTCAGAAAACAAACACACTTAGGGTTTCTTTTTTATGTCGGAGAAATCCGCTACTATTTTTGAGCGTTAGCAGATGACAAGTGATGCATACTGTGCTGTCTCCTAATATTAGCAAAATGAAGGAGATGCTCGCAACGCTCTTTGATGCTCTACAGCTCGCAGTGCGGTATGATCAAGAACTAACCAACCAGAAGGGATACTGAGTGCTCGCAGATTGAAAAGCTGAAAAGTATCGATCGTGAAAATCTCTCGCAGATGTTATTGCTTCTTCTGTATCTCATGTACTTTTCTTAGATTCGCCTCACCTGTCAGGACCTATCTTCCTGCTTTTAATAACTGCTAATGAAATTTGTTCCCTTGCGATTCATTCTGTTGAGACCTCCTCGAGCCCTAAAAACTTCTCCAATTCCCAGATGTCTCCTGCTTGTTCACGTGAGTCCTTGAGTTTCCTACTTTGCGGATCCTGCATTCTTTCTGAGTGTCAGTTCTCAACAGAGTATGTGCTGAAAGCATCAGACCAGACGCTAGCAAACCAGTATCCTACTATATATAATCCGCTAAGTTTGTCTGTTGGTGTGTGTGTGTGTATGTCTGTGTGTGTTTGACCGGAAATTCATAACTCCCTTCAAAAGAGTGACAGAGCGCTCAAATTCATAAGTGATGTAGGGGGTCGTGCAGAAACACTATTGCTAGGTGGCAGCAGTTGATAAGAACTGATAAGATACCACGAGCAGCCTTATAAGGGGAGGATCACCAAATTCATAGCGCGGGCCACAGCAACGATGAGACCTTGGTTCCAGGAAGTAAGGTAGGGGGCAGGATGGGAACATTATTGGTGGGTGGCAGGAATTGATAACAGCTGATAAGATACCATAAGGAGCCTCAGAAAGTGGGTTACCTAATTCATAACACCGGCCAGAGCAATGACCGGACGTTGGATACAAGTAGTAAGATAGGGGGCAGGGGAAATGGGGAATTATTGGTGGGTGGCAGGAATTGATAACAGCTGATAAGATACCATAAGGAGCCTCAGAAAGAGTGGGTTACCTAATTCATAACACCGGCCAGAGCAACGACCGGACGTTGGATACAAGTAGTAAGATAGGGGGCAGGATGGGAACATTATTGGTGGGTGGCAGGAATTGATAACAGCTGATAAGATACCATAAGGAGCCTTAGAAAGAGTGGGTTACCTAATTTATAACACCGGTCAAAGCAAATACCGCGGACGTTGGGTACAAGTAGTAGGATAGCGGGCAGGATGGGAACATTATTGGTGGGTGGCAGGAATTGATAACAGCTGATAAGATACTTTGAAATTTCACAGCAGAGTTGTTGCAACACTGTGGAACTGCTCCAGCAAGTAATTCAGGGGTGCTCAGGGAACATTAAAGGTGGGAGATAAATTCTATCAGTGTCCGACAACGGCTTTTGGGACTCCGTATATGCTCACATCATCGTGGCCAAATTTCTATTCCTAGCAATATCCCTCAGTTTAGCGGTCGGAATTGCTTCCACCGCTAAACGCTCGAGTTTCACCGGAAAGGGAATTGTTGGCCACGAATTGTGAGGAATGAAGTCAAGACTTATGACTTCTCGACTTTTTTTATCATCGAGATTCTTCCCACCGCTATGCTGTCCTAGCCCAACGAATGGTGCTTTCAGAAATATGATAGGCAGTAAACACTGGCAAATGTTCATTAAAATGGAGAAACATGATGAAATGGGTCGTTCTCGAACATGAGGAATTAGGCTAAGTGTTGGTGCTCAGGACAAATCCTGTCAGTTATCGTAGTACCATGGGGTAATTATAACCATGGTGCGCAGTACGGTGCGCGTCAGCCAGACGTGGTGCTAACTAAAGAGCTCTCATTACTTGAGCTATACTCTAGGATAAGTGAATATGTTCCTACCTTTGGTACTTCCTCCATAAAACAAGCTGTTCATCAATTTCTACAGCAGAAATTAGCAGGGGAAGTTTGAGTGAGTAAAACTCCGTTCCTACTTCGCGTGGTTCAAATTAGCTTTTCCTCTTTTTTCTTCCGGTGGAGTGGACCACTTTCAACTGAGTGGTACCTCACGTGGATTTAAACCCCTGCTGCAGTTGCCACATCCCTACGCTGTTTTTTGTCCTGATCTGAAATTTCTAGGTTTATGGATGCAAACCAGTTCATAGTAACCATGGAGCATTTTCGGTTGACATACTCCTCAACAAAACGGTTCGATGCCTCTATCTATTCCTTCTTCTGAGATCGATGTTTTGAAAGATTTAGGTCCTTAGCGAGCAGCTGACCATGTGGCCGTCGTAGTCGGAGTTCAACGGCAAGTGCCTTTTGCCTCCAATCAAAGAAACCCGTTTGGGAGTGCTCCTCATAGCGGCTCATACTCATCCTCGCTGCGTCCCAAGGAGCGACCATAACAGGATTTCAGTATATAACAACGCCTTTGCCTTCTGCCCTCTAGTTCTTGACCGAGGCAGTGAGACCTTCTGGGGAAATATAAGGCGCGGAGTCAGACTGGAGGGAAGAACCGTGAAATCCACAACTCTTACTCAAAAATCGCTTGAATGTGATTGGTATGCCACTGTCCAAATCGAACCTTGTCACAAACTCATGGCCTTGTTAAGGAGTACTGGACTCCTGCCAAGTCATCCAACTTCACATGCCCTTCTGCCAAGTATGTTCAAAGTATCTTATAGAGAGCAGAAAGACCCAGGATCCCAAGAATCCCAAGCTCTCAATGTAAAACTTTATGAAATGGATTTGTGACTCTGTTCATTGTGGTATCGAGAGCCAAAGCATTCAGCTCGAGAGCCACCCACATAGAGATGTGATTGTAAATAAAAGTTGGGTAATCAACACTCATCTATTTCGTTTTTTTGCAGGGCGGGGTAGTGTAGCTGACAAGTGGCGCGCTTACCACTCTCGCAGTCCTAGGTTCGAATCCTGGGTGGACTCCCGCCCATGCCAAGCAAGTCTTCTACCTTCTCTTCTCTACCTTCTGGGACGGTAAATTGGTACCAGATCGCCTGGGAAGATAAGACACTGACTTGTACGTCGGCTGGCCCCCGCAAGTCATTGTATAGGCCACATCGCATTTCAAAAAGCCATTACGATTCCTGAATGGAATAGAATGTGTGCTGAATTCCACAAAGGATTCATCAGTGGCGAAAGCTTTATCCTTTATCCTTCACTTTTTTTCAAGCACTAGTTGCGCCAATGGCCCTCGTTTCCGCACAGACAACAAGGACTGCTGTACCTCCTGGGCTTAACGCTCCGGAATTGCTAGTTGAGGCGTGCGAGACTCCCAGCTGTGCCCGTTTCTGCTGCTTTCCATGTTAGCA